TTACCAGGATTTGGGAATTCTCAAATGGTTTGGGATGGGAGGAGCTTTAGGATCATCCCAATCCCACGGGAAGGGGCATTCCCACCATCCCAAACTGGAATTGGGAACTTGCAGGGATGGCATAACAAAATATCCCAATAAAATCGAATATCCCAGAAAAAAATAAAATATCCCAATAATCAAAAAAAAAAAAAAAAAAAAAAAAAAAAAAAAAAAAAAGCAGATGGATCTTCCTGGGAGGGGTGGGGAATTCATAATTCCATTTGGGAATTTTGGGAGGTCAAAATTCCCTTTCTTTGGTTCCGTTTTTGGGGTTGGGTTTGGATTTTGTTTTCCCGCAGAGCCGAGATTTTTGTGCATGCGTGTAGAAAGTTGTAAAATGTCAAATTAATGGTTTTTAATATATAAAAAAAGCTTGGATTTTCCCGGATTTTTGCAGTGGATCGGAGCATTCCGGCAGTGGTAGGAATTTTTTTCCGTTGGTGTTTGGTTGTTTTTTGGGTTTTTTGTTTTTTTGTTTTTTTTTTTTTCATAGAAGAACTAAAATTGTACAATTTTTTTTTTTTTTTAATAAAATAAATCTGTTTTGACTTTTTTTTTTTTTAATTTATTTCGTCTCAGGGGCTGTGGGGCCAAGAGTTTGGGGTCTGTGGGGCCAAGGATTTGGGATTTATGAGACCAGAGATTTGGGATGTTTGCCACTAAAGTCTATGGATCTACAGGGCCAAAATTTTGGGATCTATGTTTTTTTTTTTTAATTTATTTCGTCTCAGGGGCTGTGGGGCCAAGAGTTTGGGGTCTGTGGGGCCAAGGATTTGGGATTTATGAGACCAGAGATTTGGGATGTTTGCCACTAAAGTCTATGGATCTACAGGGCCAAAATTTTGGGATCTATGGGACCAAAAATTTGGAATTTTTGGGGCTGAGGGTTTGGGGTCAATGCCCAACTCCTGTGCTCATCCCACCCCCAAATCCCCCAGAACCTCCCCAAAACATCAGAGGGAGCTGCGTGTCCCAGCAGAGAAATTCCGAGGATTTTTGGGATGAAATCCCGCTTTTTGTGCTGTTCCTCGTGCAGGGGACACCAGAGGGACCTCGGGGTGGCCTCGTGTCCCTGAGGGGGCTTGGGAGCCACTGGGGCCACCCTGGGACCCTCAGGAGCCTCCGGGGGACGAGTCCGGCTGGGGAGGAGAAAATCGGGAATTGGGAGAGGCTGGAATTGTCCCTTTTCCCCAGGAATTGTCCCTTTTCCCTGGGAATTGTCCCTTTTCCCCAGGAATTGTCCCTTTTTCCCAGGAATTGTCCCTTTATCCCAGTAATTGTCCCTTTATTCCAGGAATTGTCCCTTTTCCCCGAGAATTGTCCCTTTATCCCAGGAATTCCCCTTTTTCCCATGATTTGTCCCTTTCCCCAGGAATTGTCCCTTTTTTCCCAGGAATTCCCTTTTCCCCAGGAATTTCCCCCTTTTCCCAGCAATACCAGGGGCTGGGGAGGGTCTGGCTGGTCCAAGGTGGTCTCGGTGTGCTCCGGGATTTTTGGCATGGGATCATGGACATGGGGCTGGACCAGAGCTCCCAAATCTGCAAGGGAAGAGATCTGGGAATTACCAGGATTTGGGAATTCTCAAATGGTTTGGGATGGGAGGAGCTTTAGGATCATCCCAATCCCACGGGAAGGGGCATTCCCACCATCCCAAACTGGAATTGGGAACTTGCAGGGATGGCATAACAAAATATCCCAATAAAATCGAATATCCCAGAAAAAAATAAAATATCCCAATAAAATTGAATATCCCAGAAAAAAAAATCAAAACATCCCAATAAAATTAAACACCCAGTTAAAAAAACACCCCCATACAACAAAATATCCCAATAAAATAAAATATAAAAGAAAATATCCCAGTAAAATCAAAATATCCCAGTAAAATCAAACACCCCAATTTAAAAATACCCCATTAAAATAAAATACCCCAATAAAACAAAACATCCCAGTGAAACCAGTAAAACCAGTTTCCCCGACCCCCCAGGCCTCACCTGAGGAGTCGCTGCCACTCGTGGCCAGGTCCCGGATCCCTGTGATCAGAACAGACCCAAAACCTGGATTTTCCACCCCAAATCCCCTTTGGGAAACCCCAAAACCAGCTGAGCCGCAGTTTGGGTTTGGAGCAGGAAAAAAAACCTCAAAACCCCCAAAAATTGTGTGAATTGGAGAAGGAAAGGGGCAGGGGTGACCCCAAAAAAAGGCAAACCAAACCCAAAAGAGAAAAACTTGAGGTCAGATGGGACATTTGGGATGAATTTGGGGAATTTTGGAGCCAGATCTGAGCAAAGGGGAACCCCCCAGCCCCGAGCTGCGACCACTGGAGGGTTTTTGGGATCAGGATCCCCCTGATGCTGCTGCACCCCAAAAAGAGACATTTTGGGGCACTTTTGGAAGTTTTGGGGCACCTTCGGAGGTTTTGGGGCTGTGACTTCTGGAGCTTTTGGGGGCATTTCTGATTATTTTGGGGTTGTGGCCCCTGGATCTTTTGGGGTTTTGGGGGGCTGGGGTCGGGGTCTGACCTTTGTCCTTGGTCCTCTGGTAGGTGACAAAGAGCACGAGCAGGGCCAGCACCACGAAGATGACGGGGGACCAGTACCGGGCTGGGACACCCGAGGAGGCTCCTGTGGGGACAGAGGGGACCAGGGGGACAGTTTGGGATATTCCAGGGTGGTGGCAGGTCCCCCAAGAAGGTGACAGGTCCCTCAGGTTGGTGGCACGTCCCCCAGAGTGGTGACACATCCCCCCAGAGTGGTGACACATCCGCTAGAGTTGTGACACATCCCCCAGAGTGGTGGCATGTCCTCCAGGCAGGTGACAAGTCCCGAGGGGGGTGGCACCTCCCTCAAGAGGGTGACAGGTCCCCCAGGGCTGGTGTCACCTCCCCATGATGGTGACAAATCCCTGAGGACAATGCCACGCCCCCACAATGGTGACAAATCCCGGGGGACAATGCCACCTCCCCATTGTGGTGACAGATCCCTGGAGACAGTGCCACCTCCCCATTGTGGTGACAGATCCCTGGGGACAGTGCCACCTCCCTCCCTTTCCCGTGGAACTCACGGGTTTGGTTCCCCGCCGGTGTCACCGCGAGGTCCCCAGTGCTCGTGGTGACCCTCGGCCACTGCGTCCCCGTTGTCACCGCTGTCACCGTGTCCCCATCCCCGGTGGCCGTGCTGGGGTGTCCTGGTGGCTCCAGGGGGTCCCGTGTCCCCTCTGGGATCTCCTCGGTGACGTTCCCGTTCCCGTTCCCCCACTGCTCTTCCTGGAAGCCGAGAGCTGGGAATTTGTGGGATTTGGGATTTGTCCGTTCTCCCCCAAATTCAGGGGTTGGGAATGGGAATATCCACCCCAGTGTCCCCTCAGGGGACGTGGGACAGAGTTTGGGGACATCGCCAGAGGGTGAGAGGTCAGGAGGGGCCCCAAAAGGAAATTCTGGGAAAGAGGAGAGGGAGGGAAATCCCGGGAATTCCGAGGGAGCGGGGACGGGATCCCAGGAGCAGCCAGAGATGTTCCAGGTGAGATTTGGGATGGAGACCCAGGAAATTCTGCCCCCAGAGGGTTTTGGGGCTCTGGGACAGCTCCCCAGGGAATGACTCCGACCCCAAAACCTCCAGGAGGGTTTGGAAAACACGCCCAGAGACCGGGCGGGATTTTGGGATTTTTGGGTTGTGCCGGGGTTGGGTTGGATGATCTGGGTGGGTTTTTCCAGCTCAGGAGGTCCCAGAACTCTCTGAGGGGGCTGAGCTCGAGCAGAGCAGCGGCCCCACATCCTGTGAGGTTCACACCTCGCCCCCAACAACAAAAACCCCAAATTTGTCAGGTTTTCACAATGGAAAATGGGGGCTGGGGCTAAGCTGAGGCTGTTCTGAAACCCAGGAGGTTTTGGCATTGTGCCCCCAGCAGGGAATTACAAAATATCCCAAAATATCCTGATTTGGGCATGGAATTGGGGGATGTGAGGTGGAAGGACCCACCAGCATCATCCAAGTTCCATTTGTGGCCCTGCCGAGATTAAAACCTACAAAACCAACCCAAAACGGTCCCAATGCCCCTCCTGATGCTCCGCCAGGGTGGGCTGGGATGGATTTGGGGAGCTGGGACATCTCAGAAGACCCCAAAACCCTCCTGGGAACACAAACCATGCCCAACAAAGCCGGGCTCAACCCAAACCTGAGCTTAACCCCCAGGAAAAGCCCTACAGGGACCTCCCTGAGCTGCACCCGCTGCCTTCAGCCCCTTCCTCTTCCTCGTCCTCCTCACCCTCGCTCCAGCCCCACACCCCGAGTCCCCCCGGCCCCACTCACCGGCCCCAGAGCAGAGCAGGGCGAGGCAGAGCCCCCCAAAGCCCCTCGGGCCCATCCTGCCGCGCCCCAGCCCCACCCCGGCCCTCGGAGCCGCCTTCCTTCCCCTTTCCCGGGCAGGAAGCCGCGGTTGGTGACAAAGGTGGTGAAATCGGGGGAGGAACGGGCAAAAACCATCCCCTGAGGTGCTTTCTCCACCCCATGGATCGTCTCTCCACCCCATGGAATTGTTTTTCCATCCCACAGAATCGTTTCTCCATTCCACGGAGAAATCCCATGGATTTGTGTCTCCACTCCATTGGATTGATTTCTCCATCCCATGGAATTATTTTTCCAACCCATGGATCATTTCTCCACCCCACGGATCATTTCTCCATGGGAAGGGGCAGGGAAAGGGTTGGAGGTGTGGGCAAGGAGTGGGGGAAGCTCCAGGAGTTCCCAAAATCCCTTCAGGACAATCCCTGGAGTTGTTTAAATCCCAATCCAAGCCAAGGATCAGATATCCAGGGACAAATCCCACCCCTATAAAACCGGAGTTGCTTTTAACTCAAAACAATATTCCAAATATTCAAAAACATGGGGGGGACACAGGAAAAACACAAATTACTCCGGATTTATTACAAAAAATTGTTTTATTTCCAAAAATAAAGTGCAGGCAGGAACGGTGCTGGATGTGTCTGGAATTCTTATTGCAGAGACTTCAAAGGCAGCTCACGGTGCCACCCGTGAATAATTCACCAAGGCACAGACAAAGAGCAGCGGGAAGAGGCACGGGAGGGAAGAGAATTCCCAGAATTCCGGAGGCATTGGAAAATCCAGGCCAGTTCTTGGTTTTGGGGCGATTTCTGCCATTTCCAGGTGGATTTGGGGAGCAGAGGAAGGGGGAAATTTGTCCCATGCCCCCTGCTCGGGTCCTTGTCCCCCAGCACGGTGCACGTTCCAAAGGAATTCATTCTGCTCCTGGAGATTGCTGCTGAGATCCCCAGATTCCTGCTGGGATCCCTGAATTCCTGCTGAGATTCCCAAATTCCTGCTGGGGTCCCCAAATTTCTGCTGAGATTTCTTCTGGGATTCCTGCTGGGATTCTCAAATTCCTGCTGGGATTCCCAAATTCCTGCTGGGGTCCCCAGATTCCTGCTGGGAATCCTCCCAGCTCCAGCAGCCCAAATCCCTCACCCAGAATCCAAACCCCACATGCAAACACACCCAAGTCGCTCTCCGTGTCCCGTTTTCCCTCAGATCCACCCCAAATCCCGGATCCCAAATCCCGGATCCCAAATCCCGAACCCTGGCCCTGCAGGGATTGGTGGGGCTGAGGGTTTTTGGGGGAGGGGAGCGCTGTAAGATTTAGAAATTTCTGAGGTTGGGAAAGGGAACAGGTGCTGAAACCACACGAGCTTTGACACGGCAACATCGCTTCTTGTTGTTCCGTTTCAACTTCCTGGCGTTATTTTTGGTTGTTTTCAGCCCTGCAAGAAACCAAAGTTTTTGCAAGGCTCAAAATGCAGCAGAAGAGGGGGGGAAAATAATTTACAAATAAGTAATTTACAAAAAAAAAAAATAATGATTTGCAAAAAAATAGTTTCCAAATGTTCCCTGAGCTAATTCCTTCTAAAAAATGTGGTTTTCACCCAAAAAGGGGCTGGTTTGGAGCCCCCATCCCTGGATGTGTCCAAGGAATGCATTGGATGTTGGTCTGGGTGACCAGGATTGGTCCCAGGTTGGAATTGGTGGTCCTGGAGGTCTTTTCCAACTCCAGTAATTCCGCGATTCCGTGGAAAAACCCTTTTAAGAGTCTCCTCCAGCCTGTCTGGGAGTCCCCGCAGCTTTGGCAGAGTTTTGTCCAGAATTCTGGTGGGAGATGGTGGGAAAAGGAGCCTGAATCCCACGGAGCCACCAAAAACATGGAGAAAGTTCCCAAAAATCCTCCCTGAAATCCCAAAGAGAGGGAAACTGAGGCAGCAGAGATGAGGGGGGGAAGGGAGATTCCAGGAGGGGGAGATCCGTGAGATCCAGGTCTGGAGCAGGATTGGGAATGCTGGAGCTATTCCAGAGTCGCCTTGTGGGGTCCATCCATCTGGCTGGGGAGTGGAGAGCCTTTAAACCAGTTCCAGATCCTTCTAAAACAGTTTCAGATGCTTCTAAACCAGTTTCCAGGTCCTTTAAAACCAGTTCCATCTTCTTCTAAATCAGTTCTGGTTTCTTCTAAACCAGTTCCAGCTTCTTCTAAATCAGTTTTGGTTTCTTGTAAACCAGGTCCAGACTCATTAAAATAGCTTCAGACCTTTAAATCACTTCCAGATATTTTAAACCAGTTTCATGTTCTTAAACCAGGTCCTTTAAACCAGTTTATTATCCTTTAAACCGGTTCTAGGTCCTTCTAGACAGGTTCTAGGTCCTTCTAGACCAGCTCCAGGCCGGTCACAGCGGCATTTTCTGCCGTGCCATCATCCGCCTGCAAGGACAGAGGGACACAAGCTTGGCTTGGGGTCGTGGGGGCTGACCCCAGCCTTGGAGAGATCCAGGGTTTGGTTTAAGGCTCTGGACCCTCTGTGCCCGTCCCGGCCCGGGGTCTCCCAGCTCACCTGCTCCGGACGCTTGACCAGGGAATAAATGGTTGTGGCGGATCCCCCGTCCGTGGGTTTGGCTTTCATTCCGTTAGGGACGCCCTGGGGCAAGACGATTTTTAAATGTTTTATGGCTCGGTGCTGGAAAAAAGATCCCAAATCCAGAGATCCCACAAAGATCCGCCTCTGGAGGTGTTGCCCCATCCCGAGTCCAGGCTGGAGCATCCTGGGACAGCGGGAAGTGTCCCTGCCCATGGAATGGGATGATTTTAAGCTCCCTCCCAACCCCAAAATCCCGTTTCTCTCTGATCCCTCCAAAACTGAGTTTTTGAGGCTGGGCACAGAGTTTTGGGCAAGTTCAGGTGCCCTTGGGCCACCTCCAGCTGTGGCTCATCTTGTTTGGAATTCTCAAAAGGAGCCAGGGATTGTCCAGCTGTCCCCAGGGTGTCCCCAACCCCGGAGAGGACGCGGATCCTGGACTCACCTGCTGGGAAGGGCCCACCTCGGCGTACACGGTCGTGTAGTCAGTGGCCGCTGCAATTGGGGGAAAAAAGCGTGAATTTGGGGATTTGGGAGGCAGGGAATGCCCCTGGGTGCTCCTGGCTGGGGAATGAGGGAATCGCAACCTCAGGAGCTCAGGCTTGGGTAAAACCTCGAGCCCAAAGCCCCTCAGAGCTGCTGGAGGTGGGGATTGCTCCTCATCCCACCCTCCCTGGCGCTGTGGGGTTGGGATGAACTTCCAGCACCAAGGACAGGGAAAATCCACCCTTTTTTTGGTTTAAATCCCAAATTCCTGGCTGCTTTTTGGAGGACAAAATCCATTTGTTTCTCCTTCATGTGATCCCCCCATTGCTCATTGAACAGAGAAGGGAAAGGGGGATTTAAATCCCTTAAAATCCCATTTTTGGGTCTAAATTTCCCATTGGAATTCCTGGACGTTGGTCTGGGTGTCCAAGTAGGGATCGAGCACAGCTTGGACTCGGTGGTCCTGGAGAGATTTTCCAACTTTGGGGATTCTGGAATTCTAGGCTGGACTCACCCTGAGTCACCGAGTGGAATTCCTGACTTTTTCCCCCAAATGTCTCTTACCAGCTTTTATTTTTCCCCAAATTCCCTCTTTTTTTTCATTATCCCATGGCTGCGCCCCCAGCTCCCTGTTGGTGGTCTGAGATTAAGTTTTCCAGCAAAAATGGAGGGAAAATGGGATTTGGGATTATCCCCTGGGATCAGCCCCTCCCACTCCCCATCAGGACAGAGGGGTCGGGGTCCTTCAGCTCCGATCCCAAACCACAGCACTGGGGATGATTCCCCTGGTCCTAAATGCAATTCCCTGGCTATTCCCACCAGGAAAAAGGGCAGAGAACTGCCCCAAAATCTCACCTGTGTCCGCAGGCTTGGAATTGGAGAGATGGAATTTCCTCCAGCCTGAGGGAGATGTGACAGAATCAGAACTCCAAATCCACCCCAAATCAGCCCCAAATCAACCCCAAATCCACCCCAAATGAACCCCAAATCTGCCCCAAATCCACCCCAAATCTGGCCCATCATGGCTCCATCCCCCATCCCAGGTCCCACCTCCTGCTTCGAAGGGTTCCAGGGATTGTTTTCCATGCTCACCTTTGGATTTCCCCAAGAACACGAGGCAAAGTGATAAAAACGCCGCGACTAAAATCCCGACTACGATGACGACCCCGCCCCTGACCCCGACCTGGCTGCTGGAGAGGGCTCCTGGAAAAGGGAGAAGATGCAGAAGATCCCAGGGGAGTGGGATCAGCCAATCCCAACCCCAACGTTCCCATCCCATCCCAACTTCAACATTCCCATCCCATCCCATCCCATCCCATCCCATCCCATCCCATCCCCAAATCCCAATGTTCCCACGGCTCCCAGGGAATCGGGATCAGCCCTTGCCAACCCCAACATTCCCATGTTTCTCAGGGAATCAGGATCAGCCCATCCCAACATCAACCTTCCCGTGTTTCTCAGGGAATCAGGATCAGCCCATCCCAACCCCAACATTCCCGTGTTTCCCAGGGGATCAGGACCAGCCCATCCCACCTTTCCCCACCTGTCCCCAGCTCTCACCAGAGCAGAGCACCCCAGGGGTGGTGACAGTGACATTCCTGCTGCTGACGGGGTTCCGTGCCGTGCACGTCAGCGGCTCCGGCTCCTCCCGGGATGATTCGTTCACCCACAGCACCACGGAGCCCCCGTCCTGCGGCCGATCCCGCACCCTCCAGCTGTAGGAGACGTTCCCGAGGCCGGCGCCAGGCACGGAGCAGCGCAGGGAGAAGCTGCAGCTCCCGTCCGAGCAGTTCTGGGCCTCGCACGTCACCGTGGGCTCTGCCAGCTCCCCTGGGGGCACAGGGGTGTCACAAACCTCTCTTTTAGGGTAAAAAACCCCCCAAAACAGCACTAAAGGCACCTACTGAACACCTGGAGGGTGAAGGTGGATTTTTTTCCATCAATGGTTACAGAGTAGGTCCCGGCATCCTCCATCCGCAGCTGGGAGATGCTGAGCGCTCGGCCGTTCTCAGAGACAGCAAAACGGGTTTTGAATTCATCTTTGTGAAATACTGGTCGTCGAGGAGGGTCTTCAAATACCACAGTCATTATGGCTTCAGTCCCAAAAAACCAGAGTGCTGGCTTTCCGCCTGTGTTGTGGGTGTGGAAGGTCACGGACCCACCCAGGACCCCGATCACCTCCGTTGGGTCGCTGGTGCTCGCTGGGGAGAGAAAGTGGAGAGAGAACTTGGGATGAAGGTGGGATGAAAAGCTGAGATGAAGCTGGGGTGGAGTGCTGAGTTTGGGCTGGAGGTGGGATGAAGAGAGGCTGAAGATGGGATGAAAAGGTGGGATGAAGATGGGATCAGGGTGGGATCAAGGTGGGATCAGGGTGGGATGAAGTTGCAGAACCCAGACACTGAAGCCCATCCGGCTGGGGGTGTTTGAAGGCTCATGGGGGGCTCATGGAAGGGACCCTGGGTGAAGGAACAGCACGAGGCCACCCCCAGGCTGAGCCCCCGCAGCCTCGTGCACAGCCTCGTGCCAAGGACGGAGCCCGGAGGGGAACTGAAAGGGAAAGGGGAAGGAGGAGTTGGAAATAGCCTGACCTTGGACACGGCCAGGGTGGACGGGGCAGCTCCAGCACGGCTGCTCCAGGCTGAGCGCTCCCTGTGGCCTCAGGGAAGGGCCCCTTGGAAACTGCGGACTCGCTCCAACAGCTCCATGACCTTCTCATGTTGGGGGCACCAGACCTGGCGGGATCTCACCATTCCAGGTGGGATCTCACCATTCCAGAAATGAGAACCCTCCCACTCTCCTCTGGATGCAGCCCAGGACAAGGTCCAGGATCCCTCTGGATCCATCCCTTCCCTCCAGGGGCCATACCAAGACCTTGGGTCACCAATTCAAGGAGGAAAGAGTTCTTTTAGCTATTTTCACAACTTCCCATTTCCATAAAACTGTGCCACCCGGTCTAGACTGGGAATGGAGTTTTTCTTCCCAGTTTTCCTAACAGGGAACTGATCCCGGCTCTGCCCCGAGGTTGGGCTCGGAATTTCTGTCTCACTCAGCCTCTGTGGCACGGACAGTGGAGCATCAGGAAGGAAAAAGCTGCAGGGGAAGATAAACTCGCAGGAAAGTTGCTGAACAACGCAGCCACGGGATGGTTCACATGATAAACCCCCTCAGAGGCTGCGGGGAAGGGCTGGGGCCGAACCTTGCCCAATTTCCCTCTTTTCAGCCAGAAAACACCTCAGGATGAAACCTCCAAAAACCAACATGGAGAGGAGCAGGAGCTGAAGGCAGAGCAGGATGTCTGGAGAACATATGCACCTGGTCTCTCTTTTCCAGAGGGTTCCCACGGCCAGGGGAGAGGCCAGGGCATCTTTCCCCCTGGTTGCCCCATCTCTGGGAGCTTGCCCAATCCTGCGGAGCTGATTCCACACATCCCCACCCTCTTGGGGGTCCCCAAAACCACCCCAAACCCCCCACAGGCTCCTTGCCAAGGGACAAGGCGCGCCTGGCACGTGCAAAGGGGTGCGAGGACAGAGCCTGGAGGTGAAAATGGAAGGGAGAAAGTTGGAGATGGCTTGGAAAGGTCGGGAAGGTTCGCTCTGAGCACCAAAGTCCCAGCTCAGGGGCCCAGCAGGACAGGGAGCCCCTGGCCAGACCTGCATCTGCTCCTCGGAGCAGAATCATGGAATTCTGGAGAGTTTTGGGTTGGGAGGGAACTTAAAATTGTCTCATTCCACCTCCCGGAACCTTCCAGCATCCCCGGTGGGTCCATCCTAGCCTTGGTCACTCCAGGGATGGCGAATCCATGGAATAACCTCTGCCAGGAGCTCCTGGGCAGCAGCTGGCCAGAGGCTGGGCCAGAGATGGACACCAGGATGGACACCAGGTATGGACACCAGGGATGGACACCAGAGATGGACACCAGGGATGGACAGCAGGGATGGACACCAGAGATGGACAGCAGGGATGGACAGCAGGGATGGACAGCAGGGATGGACAGCAGGGATGGACAGCTCTCTAGCAGCAGGTTTCCATGGCAGCAGGATCTCCATGGCATCCCTGGATCCCAACATTGGGCACAAATCCACCTCGTGGAGCTGCTCTGGTGCTGCCACCCAGCCCTCGACCCTAAAAACCCCAAAAAACACCCCAAGATCTCCTTCCCAGGGGACAAGGAGCACCTGGCACTCACTGGTTGGGTGGAGGAGCGTGAGGATGGCGAGAAGAGGGATCCAAAACACGTCCATGGGTGTCCGGAAACGGAGAGGATTTGGGGCACCAGCACACAAAAATTCTAGCCATGAAGAGGGAGGAGAAGAGCGCCTGCGTGGCTTTTCAGTGCCTGCATGGAGGGCAGGGCTTCCGATGTGGTTTGTGACGAAAACGACGCATCAAGGGGGGGCAGTTCACACTGAAAATGAAAATTTGAGGTGTTCCATTAAAAGCACCCAGTTTCCATGGAAAGATGATGGTGGACCAAGAGTGTCACCTGGGCCAAGAGTGTCACCGTGGCCGTGTGGGACAAGTGGCTCAGGTGCTCCGTGGGGCCAGCCCCGGTTCCCTCAGCTCTGGCCAAAAAGGAGATGCTCCTGTCCCTTCTGTGCCCCCCAAAAGCCACGCCCGGACATGGGACAATGACAATTTTTGGGAAAGCAGCACTTCCCCAATCGGGATTATTCTGGGAAGGTCACATGCAGATGGTCGTGGTGAAATTTTGGGGTGAGGGGGAAGTGAGCTGGAGCAGATTAAAAAATTATCTTAAAATGTTCTAAAAATGTTCTTAAAGAATGGATTAAAAATCTTAAAAATAAAAACCCTGGTTCCTCTGCCCCAGTGAGGAACTGGTAGCTGCTGGACCAGACTGGTTTTGGGTGGAAGGGACCTTAAGGACAACATTTTGGGGCTGGACAGGAGATTTGGGGGTTGGAACAAGAAGGATTTTGGGGTGGGAAGGAGGAGGATTTTTGGGGTTGGATGGGGATTTTAAGCTTGTAAAGTGCATTTTGGGTTGGATATTCCTCCCCAAAGCTCCCAGTCCTGCTGCTGGGGTGCCCGAGCTGGGGACAGCGGAGCCACCGCGAGGTCCCCAAGTGTCCCCGGCGCTCGCTGCAAAGGGAAAGCAAAACCCCCCAACACCCGCGCCCTCCCGGGGCAATTAAAATTAATTCCCTCCGAGCTTTGGGGGCTGAGAGCGCCCACCCCCGACACGTCCTTGTCCCCTCTGCCACACGGGTGGCCGGGGGGTGACAGCCCCGAGGGGTCCCCGCGGGGGAATCATGGAAAATCCCGAACAAAAAAGACCCTCCAGGATCACCCAAGCCACCCCAAAATCCAGAGTTTTCCCTAAAATCCATCCCGAAATCCCCCCTGGAGCAGCTCCAGCCCCTCCTCATCCCAAAGGACAAGCAGAAACGCCACCGCCGGCGCTGTAATTTATTCTAATGACCCTCATTTGCATATCGGGGTTAATTTGCAGCCCGCCAATCGCCGTTCCCATTTCTCCTCCCTCGGTTTTGGCAGTCCCGGGGGCGGACGCGGCGCTGTCACCGCAGCCAGGCGACACCGGAGCGGGACGGGGACAGCCCCGGGCCGGCCCCAAGTGGGTCAGGGCCCAGCGGGGGTCGCGGGGTCCCTTTGTTCGCCGCCCCCCGCCCGTGGGAAGACGCCGGCGGCCGTTTGTCCCCAGCGAGGGGACAGCGGTGGCCCCAGGGAGCCGCGACAAAGGCGCCGAGTGTGGCCGGGCGGGGGGGAATCCGGGCTGGAATGCCAGCCCCTCCTCGGCGGCGTCTGGAGCGGCGACCCCAGAAAATCCCCCCGGGATTGTTTGGGGCTGGGGGAGAATTCCGGGAGCGAGCTGGGATCGAGCCCGGCCTGGCCAGCCAGTGGTCATCCAGTGGTCATCCAGTGTGGTCATCCAGGGATTCCCCGGACACCTCCAGGGGTGGGGATCCAACCCTCCCTGAGCCCCTTCTGGTGCTTCCCAACCCTTTTCCCATGGAAAAATCATCCCAGATTTCCAGCCCTGGCACAGCTCGAGGCCGTTCCCTCTTGTCCTGTCCCATTCCCCGGGATCAGATCCCAAATCTGATCCAAAATCCCCCCTGGCAGATCCCAACCCCCCCCTGGCAGATCCCAAATCCCCCCTGGCAGATCCCTGGGGTCGCTCTGGTCACCCACAGGAGGGGGAGATGTGACCATTGGGGTCAGTGTCCCACTGGCCATGGGGTCAGTGGTGGGGGTCCTGGATGCATTTGGGGAGATTTGAGGCATTTTGGGGAGTCTGGGTAGATTTTAGGGGATTTGAGGGGTTTTGGGGAGTCTGGGTGGGTTTTGGAGGGCATTTGAGGGATTTGGGGAGTCCCAGATGGGTTTTCTTGAGGATTTGATGGATTTTGGAGGCCCCAGGTGGTTTCTATTGAGGATTTGAGGGATTTGGGGTCACCCCGGTGGGGATTTGGGGATCCGTGGGGCGCTGTGCCCCTGCCTGGCTCAGGGGCTGCCTGTGACACCCCTGTGACATTCTGTCACACCCCAAAATGCGGTTTTGGGCCCGGAAGAGGAACAGGAACCTCCATCACGTGGTCTCCCCGTTCCCCTTCAAGCCTTGGGTTTGGGGGTCAGGGGGGGCTCCGGCCTCGGGGGTCCTTGGGGAGCAGCTGCCCCGTGAGGGGGGTCCCACGGGGGGGTCCCACCCTGGGTTTGGCCGTGTCCCACCCGTGGAGGTGATGCTGGTGACAGAAGATGGCACTGGGGCTGGCGCCGAACCTCCTCCTCTTCCTCCTCTTCCTCCTCTTCACCGCGCCAGGTACGGGGTTGGATGAGGGGCTGGGGTGGGGACGCGGCTTCGGGGACAGCTGGGGACCTTGGGGTGAACCCGCCCTGTCCCCACAAGGTGCCACCACTGGGTGCCTCCCCACCGGAGCCGGAGGGGACAGACTGCCCCCCGTGGAGTCCCAAAAAAATGGAAGTGAGGGAAAAATTCACCCCGGAGGGATTTGGGGCAGGAAAATTCAAAATGCTGGTCCTGCCCCTCTTCACGCCAAGGGCTCCAGAAAGGGCCGAGTTGTTTCAATTTTATTTTTAACATTTGAGTGACAATTCCAGGCGTTTTGAACGTGTCTGGAATTCCAGGTGGGATGAGACCTGGGGAAGGACGAGCCGCCCAACTCCCCCATCCCCAATTTTTTTGGCAGCCTGGGCAGAAGAACCCCCACCCTTGGAGGTGACCGGAGCCGTGGGCAGGGTGGCCTTTCTGAACCCCCGCAGCCCCCAAAATCCCTTAAAATACTCCCAAATCCACTGGTGCTGGGAAAACCAGCTGAGAATCGCCAGCAGGAAACGGGGGGAGGAGCCCACGTACCCCCCGAGCCACTTTCGGGGCCGCCTGGAGCTCCTGGACAACAGCACCCTCAAAATGAGCCCCCTGGGCCTCGGGGACAGCGGCGAGTACCACCTGTACCTGGAGGAGACACGGGCAGGCAGAGCATCCAGAAGGTCCAGCTGCAGGTCTACGGTGAGTTTGGGGACAGGGAATTGTCCCACAGCCCCACGGGGGGGGTGGGGGACGTTGTGATGTCCTCGAGAGATTGTCCCAGAGCCCCACGGGGGGGTGGGGGACGTTGTGATGTCCTCGAGAGATTGTCCCAGAGCCCCACGGGGGGGGGTTGGGGACGTAGTGATGTCCTGGGGGTTGTCCAAGAACCTCATGGGGACCTCGTGACATCCTGGGGGTTGTCCCAGTGCCCCACAGGGACATTGTGACACCCTGGTTGGTCCAAGGATCTCATGGGGAAGCCCCTTCCAAAGCCTTTTCCCCATTTCCAGGAGGAATTTCCCCAAATTTCCCACCCTGAGCCTCCCCTGGCACAGCTCAAGGCCGTTCCTCTGTCCTGATTTTGGATTCCACCCCAAAATTGACTCCACTGTGGTGCTGGAGGATCCCTGAACCCCAAAACTGAGCCCAGAGGGACTCTGGAGATCCCTGAACCCCAAAAATGACTCCATGGGGTACTGGGGGGTCCCTGAACCCCAAAAATCAGTCAGGGGGGTCCCTGCACCTCCCAAAATGATCCCTGGGAGCAGATCCCAGTCCCAAGGTGGATCCCAGGGCTGGGGGATCCCTTTTCCCTCCTCCCGTGGCTTTGGGGTCCATCTCCTGGCTCTGCCTCCAGATGAGTCCTCGTCCGTCACCCGTGCCGCGCCCAGCGCCCTGGTGGCCCTGGGACACCTCGTCCTCCTCTTGCTCCTGCTCGCCGTGGCTTGAGGACCCCGCGGGTGACGCCTCCGGTCACCTCCTCACCTTCCACCACCAAGGGACCAACGCCTGGGCAAAGATCCCGGAATCCTCCGGGCGCGGAAAAACGCGGCCGCGCGAGGGAGCGGAATCCCCGGGATCGTGCAGTTTGTGGTTAATCTGGAAATCCTCCCCGCCCCTCACCCCAAAACCTGCGGGGAGCCCCGATCTGAGCCCTCCCCGGGGTTCCCTGGAATTTTGGGGGATCCTCATTTGTTGGGATGGCCTTTGGTGCTCCCTGCGAGGGAGGGTTTGGGGTCGGTTTTGGATTTCCCACATGTCACTTTGCACATTAAATTCCATCCTGAACACCACATTTTTAGGATTTTCTGGATTTTTCTGTGGGCTGGGACATCCCATGGCTCAGGGATTGGGGGATGATGGAAGAAGCTCGGAGATGTTTCCCCCCAGCTCCGTTTTTGGGGACAAAATCCCTTCCTTTGTCCCCCAGAGGAGGATCTGGCTCCGGAGGGTGGGACACGGATCCAGAGGGGTGGGAAGAAATCTCGGGAATGATGGAGATGATCCCTCAGCCTCTAAAAAAAACCCTGGAAAAGTTTGGGATGCTTCCAGCCCCGCCAACACAGCCCAAAAAAGAAGAAAATCGGGGATTTCACCTCCATAAATCCCAAAAAATTCCACTTTAAGCAAATATTCCCAAAGATTCCTTGGAATCATCCAAGGGTCAACAGAGACCTCCTTGGAAAATTCTGAATAATTCCAGCCCCGTCTGAGGAGTGGCTCGGGATAATTCCTGATTCTTGGATGATGATTTTAACACCAAAATTGATTTTTCCAGCGATTTTCCCCCCTTGGAAATAATTTTTTGGGGTCTTGGTCCATTCCCATGTGGAGATTTTGAGCTTTTATTCCACTTATAAAATCCAGGATATTAAAAAAAACCCCTGTCCCAGAGCTCCAGGGGGACATTGTGCCATCCTGGCACTGTCCCAGAGCTCCAGGGGGACTCGGTGCCATCCTGGCACTGTCCCAGAGCTCCAGGGGGACATTGTGCCATCCTGGCACTGTCCCAGAGCTCCAGGGGGACTCGGTGCCATCCTGGCACTGTCCCAGAGCTCCAGGGGGACTCGGTGCCATCCTGGCACTGTCCCAGAGCTCCAGGGGGACTCGGTGCCATCCTGGCACTGTCCCAGAGCTCCAGGGGGACTCGGTGCCAGCCCGGCCTCTCCTGCAGACCTGGTCCCGAAGCCCCGCGTGACCGCCACCACCAACGGTGACCCCCAGCAGTGCAACGCCACCCTGAGCTGCTCCGTGGGCCTCCAAGGGGTCACCTACGAGTGGATCCCACCCCCGAAGGCCCTGATGAAGGAGGGCCCGGTCCTAGAGGTCTCCTTCAGCCCCACGGTGGACACCTACGTGTGCAGGGTCAGCAACCCCGTGTCCTCCAGCAATGCCTCGCTGACCTTCCGGCCCCCCTGCAGCTGGACAGGTACGGCCACGGCCGGACACAGCACCAGGGAGGGCTGGCCTGGGCTTTGGGGTGTCCCCACAGGGGTTTGGGGGGCATCTGGGGACTCTCAGAGCGATCCCACAGAGTTGTTTGGGTTGGGAAGGAGCTCTGAGGTCATCGGTCCAATGTGGGGCTGACCCTGCCTGGTCATCCAGGGAGATCTCCAGGGGTTCCTGGGAAATTAATAATTAATAATTAATTAATAACAATAAATAATAATTAATTAATCTCGGGGGAGCTTCCAGACAGAAAACTCCAGGATGGGGAAAAGAATAAATTTAGGATCATTATTTCCACTTAAAAGAGGTTTTTCCAGCCATTTTATGTTCCTTGTTCCCAAAAGTGCTTCCCAAAAGGAGTTTTCCTCTGGATGATTTCACTTCATTGATTTTTCCTGCTCGATGCCAGCCAAGCCCAGGTGGGGAAAATTGCTTTTTTGGGGGGATTTTTTGGCTTTTCTGGACCATTTCCAGGTTGAAAATTTTCCTTTTGGGACCTGGGGGTTAAACTGGTGGAGAAATCCATGGAGAAATCCAGCCTGGCCATGGGAATTCCAGGTGGGATTTGTGCCTCTAAAAACACCCCAAAAGAGAAAAAATACCCCCCAAAATCCCAAAATGCACCCAAACACCCCAAAACCAACGACTTTGCCACCCCAAACTCCTTCCAAGCTCCCATTCCAGAAGTTTCCAGGAGGAACCACCGCTGTTTTTCCTGGATTTATTCATCCTGCGCTTCCCCATGTGTATTTTTTCTGTAAAAGTCTGATTTTTGGGAAATGATGGCTTTGGGTTTTTACCTATCAGGTGCTTTCTGAGCAAGGAAGGAGGAGCCTTACAGGATGTTCCGGGTGGGGTTTTTTGGGTGGTTTTGGGTTTTTTTGTCATTCAATAATCATTGCCCGGCAGCAAAACCTCGTGGAAAACTCTGAGCTGGTCCTCCCTGGAAAGCAGAGGGATTTGATCCAATCCCAGGATTAGATTTGGGTTAAAATCCTGGAATTTTATGGACACCCCAAACCTCCCTGGGGCTGACCCCGTGGGGTCATCCAGGGGGATCTCCAGGGGTTCCTGGGACACCCCCAGGGATGGACACCCCAAACCTCCCTGAGCCCCTTCCAAAGCCTTTTCCCCAGGATGTTCCGGGTGGGGTTTTTTGGGTGGTTTTGGGTTTTTTTGTCATTCAATAATCATTGCCCGGCAGCAAAACCTCGTGGAAAACTCTGAGCTGGTCCTCCCTGGAAAGCAGAGGGATTTGATCCAATCCCAGGATTAGATTTGGGTTAAAATCCTGGAATTTTCATCCCTGGAGGTGTCCAAGGAACAACAAGGTGGGAGTCGGTGACATCTTGGATTGTTGGATCCTGGAGCTCTTCTCCAACCTCAGGGATCCTGGAATTCCTGCTCCATCCACACCCTGAAAATTGGGAAAACCAGCAAAATTTGGAGAAAAAAACAAAAACCCTCGGATTTCAAAGGTCCTCCACCAAAACCAGTCAAGATTTTCCAGCTGCAGATCCATGACTGGATTTTTCTGGCCTTTCCCATCCATTCCACCAGGAAGGACCATCGCCATCCCCAGCTGATCCCAAATCCACCCAAATCTGCCCAGAACGAGGATTTGGCTTCTCCCAGGTGAGTTTTTGGTGACCTCCCGTCCTTCTCCTCCTCGCTGTGGATCCCATGGAGCTCCAAGCTGGGATCTTCCTGGGAAATTTGGGGTTTTCTCACCTTTCTGGGTGGTCCCACCCCTGGGGGATGAAACAAATTTTGGGATGCTCCGAGGACATGCCCACGTCCCTTAGCGGGATCGCTCTGAAGCTTCCACCTCTCCAGAGCTGGAAAAATCCGTGAAATTCCTTCAAAACTGGATTTTCCCTCTTTTTTCAGAGCAGTTTGAGGACCCTCAGCGGGATGAGGGAATTCTGGCGGAAAAACCAAACCCATTTTCTGCTCTTCTCCGCAGCGTTTTTGGGGCACGGAGCACAACCCCGCGCTTTGAATAATTTCCGACCGAAGGAGATAAAAGGCAAAGGTTCGACTCATTCAGCCCCCAAAAAACAGGAAATGAGAAGCCCGGGGGTGAAGATCTTCCTGTCAGCACCTGCTCTGAACCCTGGAGCCGCGGAGGCTCCGTGATCCCGGGATGGGCTCCGGGGCTTGGCTCCAGCTGCTCCTCACCCTCGGAGCTCTTTGGGGTATGTAGGGTTTCCTCCCCAATTTTGGGGGGTTTTGGGTGGTTTTTCCTGGATTTTGGGGTTTTTTTTTTTTGGTGGATCTGAAGGGGTTTAGGGCTTTGGGGTGGAGGTGCTCCGGGTGGGATGTGAGGAGTGTCCCTAAAACTCTCCCAGAGGGAGTAGGGGATTAAAACGTGATGGAAAAAATTCAGCTGGAAAAGTGAAGGATTTGGGCGAATTTCAGCGGGGTTGTGAGAGCCCTGAGGGATTGATTCAGTGCCAGAGGGAGTTGGGATGTTCCAGAGGAAGATTCCCAGAGGATTGGCTCAGATCCCTGGGCTGGGAGATTCCCATGGAATAAAATCATGGAATGGTTTGGGCTGGAAGGACCTTGAGGATTGTTGGCTTCAAACCCTTTGCCATGGGACAACTTCCATGAAAATGGGGCCAATCCCTGGTTTTGGGGAGTCTGCAGAGCCAAATTCCCTCCAGGCTTTCAGCCAAAATTCCAGGTTCCACCAGTAGGAGGCCATTTCACTTTTTCATTTTCCCTTTTTCTTCCTTTTTCTTCCCTTTTATTCCTTTCCTTTTCCCTTTCCTTTCTGGGCCGAAACCCATGGAAAAAAAACTTTGGGAAAAGTGGGGGTGGCACAATGGGGACCCTTCTCTGCTTTTGGCAGCTCCAGATTTGGCTCCTCCTCCTCCTCCTCCCACAATTTTGTACAAAATCAAAATTTGTTTGCCCAGAAATGAGGGAAAATGTGAGTCGAGAAAAATCCAAATCGAGGAAATTCTGAATCATTGGCTTGGAATAAAAAACAACAAAAAGGGTTTGGGGGGAAAAATCCTCCCACGGGAACCCTGGGGTGTGGGAGATGACACCCCTCAGGTTTTTTTCCAAAAAAACCAACCTGGGACCACCTCAACCAGATGGAAAATGTGGGATTTGTTCCTGAGCCTGCTCCCAGGTGGCTGCAATTCCCAAAATTCCAGGATGTTTGAAGTTGGGAAAGAGACTCCTTTGGATTTGGGGTCTCTCCTTTGGATTTGGGGTCTTCCCTTTGGATTTGGGGTCTCTCCCTTGGGCCTGGAGGTTTCTCCCATGGATTTGGGATCCTGTGGCTCACCAGGCTGGATCCAGCTCCATGCCTGACCCGATCCCTGAGGATTCCTCCAGGATTGGGATGAGGACAATCCCATGAGCTTCAACCCTTCTCCCTCCCCTCTTCCCAGGGATCGGAGCCAAGGAAACGGTGCTGGGAATTTTGGGAGAGGCGACGCTCCTGCGGATCCCCCGCGAGCTGCAGGAGCGCACCGAGCAATTCGGGGAAGCCTCCTGGAAAAAAATCATAAAGGAGCCCCTGACGAAGAAATTCTTGGTGAAGATTTCCGGCAGGAATCACTCGGAATTCCAGCCAGAGCGGATGCGCTTCCGCGAGCAGAACTTTTCCTTGGAAATCCTCAACACCAGCCGGGATGACCAGAGGCTCTACGAGTACAGCGTCAACAAAGGGTCGGAGGAGGAGGTCTGGCAGATCCAGCTGGAAGTGTTTGGTAAAAAAATCCTCTGGGAATCGCCGGGATGGTGATCCCGGCTTCTTCCTGGATGTTCCAGGCCTATTCTGGATGTTCCAGGCCTTTTCCTGCATGATTCTGGCATTTTGGGAGCAGGTCTGGGAGGTGTATGGTGGTCAAGGGGGTGGGAAATGCCCACTCTGATGTCCAAAAAATCCTGGAATTTCCATTTCTCCTTTTTCCAGAGCTGGAGGCCAATCCCAGCTTTTGCTGGAATTCCCCAGCTTTTTGTTGGATATTCTCAGCCTTTTCCTGGAATTTCCTGCTGTTTTCCTGGATGTTGCTGGGCGTTTCCTGGATTTTTTTTCTGGGCGTTCTCAGCCTTTTGGGAGCAGGTCTGGGATGTGGCAGGTGGAAAACACCCCCATTCCAAATCCCGGAATTCCCGTCTCTCCCCAGAGCCGGTGGCCGACCCCAGCATCCGGATCCTCCATCGGGAATCCTCCAACGGGAGCTGCTCGCTGGCGCTGAACTGCTCCTCGGAGCGGGGGGACAATGTTTCCTACAGCTGGGACGGCCGGGACAACGGCACCGGGGGGATCTGCTCCGGGAACGGCAGCGTCCTGCGCCTCTCGTTCCCCCTGCGGAGCGCGGCCTTCGGCTGCGTCTGCACCGCCCGCAACCCCGTCAGCAGCCGCCACGCCGCCTTCGACGCGGCCCACTGCGGCTCCGAGCAGAGGGGTAGGTCCTGGCGTCCCGCAATCCTGGAATTCCAGAGTCCAGGAATTCTGGAACCCCAGAATCCCAGAACCCTGGAACCCCAGAATCCCGGAACCCCAGAATGCCAGAATCCCGGGATCCCGGAACCCCAGAATCCCGGAACCCCAGAATCCTGGGATCCCGGAATCCTGGGATCCCGGAATCCTGGAATCCCGGAATCCTGGAACCCCAGAATCCGGGGATCCCAGAACCCCAGAATCTTGGAACCCCAGAATTGTGGAATCCCAGAATCCTGGGACCCCGGAACCCCAGAATCCCAGAATCCTGGAACCCCAGAATCCTGGAATCACGGAATCCTGGAATCACAGAATCCTAGAACCCCAGAACCCTGGAATTCCAGAACCCAGGAATCCTAGAATCCCAGAATCCTGGAATCACAGGATGCCAGAACCCAAGAATCCTGGAACCCCAGAATCCCATAATCCCAGAATCCTGTGATCCCATAATCTCAGAACCCCGGGATCCTGGAACCCCAGAAACCTGGAACCCCAGAACCCCAGAATCACAGAATTTTGGAATCCCAGAATCTCAGAATCCCAGAAGCTCAGAATCCCAGGGTTGTGGGGTGGGAAGGAAGCTCTGGAGATGCCCCCGTGCTGTCAGCACGGCGATGGGAACTTGGTGGATTTGGGCAGAAATTTGAGATATTGGTGGGGGAATTTGAGATATTTCTATGGATTAGAGATATTCCCCTTTAGACAAGAGATTTTTATGAATATTTGAGATATTTCCATGAACATTCAAGATATTTCTGTCCCTCAAGCCCCCTCAAAGCCACCAGGGAGATTTTGGGGTATTTTCCCACCCCACATCCAGCCCCCAGTGGGTTTTTAGCTCAAATAAGGCAAATAAAGAGAGCTCAGAGGCATTTCCTGCCCTTTGCTTCCTGTTCTGCAGCAAATCAACCCCAAATCAGGTGACAGAGGTGACAAATTCAGCCTCCGAATCTGGTGATGAAATGACAAAATTCAGACCCAAAATTAGGTACAGTGGTGACAAAAATCCCCCCCAAACTCAGGGGACAAAGTGATGGAAATCAGCCCCAAAACCAGGGGACAGGTGACAAAAATCAGCCCCAAAATCAGGTGACAGAGGTGACAAAAGGCTCTGAGTGACCCGGGGCCACCTCCCCTGTGTGTCCCCTCGTGTCCCAGGTGTCCCCAGGGTGAGGACAGAGCTCCTGGTGCCACTGGTGGTGCTCGGTGTCATCGTCATCATCATCATCATTGTCATCATGGCCATTGTCACCTCCAGGGCCACCTGCTCGGCCAAACGTGAGTTTGGGGGGTCCTGGGGTGGGTGGGGTCCCCTAAAATCCCGGAGGTTGGGAAAGGAATTCCAAGGCCAGCGGGTCCAGGCTGTGGCCGGTCCCCATGTGGTCACCGGGGTCCTGAGGGGAGGAACTGGGATTGGGATCGCTGGGATCCTCCCCCAGCCCAGCCTGAGGGATCAGGGATGAATTCTGGGAGAGAAAATCCTGAAAGGAGAATTCCTGAGGGGGCTGGGGGGTGATCCTGGAGAAAAGGGGGATCCAGGGGGAGTCTGGGATCTGCCACGGGGGATTTGGGATCTGATCCCAGGGAATGGGGCAGGACAAGAAGGAACGGCCTTGAGCTGTGCCAGGGTGGGAAATTTGGGGAAATTCCTCCTGGAAAAGGGAAAGGGCTTGGAAGGGGCTCAGGGAGGTTTGGAGTGGCCACCCCTGGAGGTGTCCAAGGAATTCCTGGAGATTCCTCGGGATGACCAAGAAGGGACTGGACACCGGTTGGACTCGGAGACCTTGGAATTCTCTTCCAACCTGGCTGATCCCGGGATTGTGCGACCCCTCCCCACCTCACAGGTGACCCAGACCCCTCCCAGATCACCCCGGACCCCTCCCAGGTCACCCCGGACCCCTCCCAGGTCACCCCAGCCAGCGCCACCATCTACGCCCAGGTGCAGCGGGTGCAGGTGAGGGGGAAAAATGGGGAAAAACGGGGGAAAAGGGGAAAATGGGGATAAGGGGGGAAAAGGGGAAAATGGGGAAAAGGGGGGGAAGGGGGAAAAAGGGGGATAAGGGGGAAAAAAGGGGGAGATTAAGTGGGGGGCAAAAGGGAAACAAAAACAGAAAAAAAAGGGGAAAAGGGGAGGAAGAGGAGGAAGAGATGAAAAGGGCAAGAAAGGGCAGAAAGGAGATTAAGGGAGAAAAAGAGGAAAATGGGAAGAAAGGGGGGGAAGGGAAACATAGGGAAAAGGGGGAAAAAGGAGAGGGTGTCATTGGGGGGGTCACCCATTCCTGCCGCACCACTCACCCGGAATTTGGGAATCTCGGGAATAAAGCCGGGTGACACCACTTGCCGAGCCCCCAGTGTCCCACGGTGGCTTTGGGGACAAACTCCGGGATTCTCCCCCTTTTCCGAGCCCCGCTGGGCACAACCCCGGCGGGAAAAGGTGGCGGCAGGGCCAGGGTGGCCCCGTGGGGACCCTCGGGTCGCTGCCCACTCTTTGTCCCCTCCCTCAGAAGCCCAAAGGGACCGTCCCCAGCGCCACCGCCCTGTCCTGCACCACCATCTACACCGCGGCCACCGGGCCACCCCCGGCCCCCGACGGAGCCCCCCGGTCCCCAGCCGGGTCCCCAACCCCGCGGGGACGCCCCCCGCTGTCCCAGGTAAGGGGGACTGTCCCCATTCCCGGCCCGTGGGGCACCCCCGGCCCGGCCACCTCGCTGACCCCTCTGTGCCCCCATTTTTGTCCCCCCCAGGAGCCCACCACGGTTTATGCCAGCGTGACCCTTCCCGTGGCCTGAGCCTCCCCGGGATCCTCCCCGGGATCCGCTCCCGGCTGGAATGGCCGCTGATCCCGGGGGATCCTTTGGGGATCCCTGAGCAGCCCCAGAAGAACCGGGGGGAGCTCTCGGCGTGTCCGGTGTCGGATGCTCCAACGAGGACACGGGCAAGGAGCCCCCCCATGCTGCTCCTCTGCGTCGCCTGCATTTTATTCTTTCCTCTCACTCGAGGGAGGATGCGAGCACTGAAAGAAGCGATACCTCACCGGGGCAGATGTTCACCTGGCCGCAGCCCCTGCCCGATGGCCTCTCCTCTCCCCTGCCCGCTGGTTGTGGGGGAATCCCAGCGGTGGCAGAATCTTGTCCGAGCCGGCTCGGCCCGGGGCTGCTCCCGGGGCCCGGCGGACCCGGCCCGGGGCTGCTCCCGGGGCCCGGCGGACCCGGCCCGGGGCTGCTCCCGGGGCCCGGCGGACCCGGCCCGGGGCTGCTCCCGGGGCCCGGCGGACCCGGCCCGGGGCTGCTCCCGGGGCCCGGCGGACCCGGCCCGGGGCTGCTCCCGGGGCCCGGCGGACCCGGCCCGGGGCTGCTCCCGGGGCCCGGCGGACCCGGCCCGGGGATGCTCCCGGGACCCGGCGGACCGGACCCGGCCCGGGCAGGGCTCGGGGGCAGCCAGGTGTCACAAACCACAGCCATGGCCCCGCGGCAATCCCCGGTCCCTGCCCGGCACCTGGTGGTGGTGGCGCGGGTTTCGTTGCGGTTTGTTGTTCGGGTGTCCCGTGGAAAACATTGCTGTGAAAACTGAAGTTTAATAAAGGACAATAGGAGACAAGGACCATGGAGCAAAGGTGGTTATGGCACTCAGCCTAGAGCACACTGTTATCTCGGGGATACCCCTTAAACACCTTTTAATTCCACCAGCCTGTTGCATATTCATAGACCCTTATGCATATCCATTCCTATTCCGCATACCCCAGGAACTATTTTACGTGGCCCCTCCTCGGGTTCCCCTTCCCAGAGCGTGCATTTTCCTGGCCGTGCTTTCAGTCCATTCTTGTCCCCTCCAGTTTCTGGGCCCTGGCCCTCGCTGCCTTGGCACGGCGGGCACTGATGGCTGGCAGATGTGCACAGCTGTGCTCATCCTGTGTGCAGGGGCTGCTTTCCCATCCCAGCAGGCGTTTTAACACCAGCACACTTACATCAGCTATTTCACCGTTAGGTCTAAGCTTAATCAGCAACAGAAATAAAAACTACGTCTTTACAACAAAGTTGCTTTAAGCTCACGCACACAGAATCCATTTTAACATTTGCAAAAAGCCAGGATTATGATATGTATCTATACAGGAGGTGGAGAGAAAACAGAAAGTTTGTAACCATAACCTACAGCAGTCGTACCTACCGCCTAGGTAGGCGAAAAGCCTGACCTGCGGAGGGCGCGCCGAGACGTGAAATCACCTGATCTTGGGAAGAAAAAAAAGTTGAAAAGTTAAAAAGTGTCCTGCCCCGCCTTTTTTAGGGAGCCGGAAGAGAACGGCGGGCACGCGAAGTGATTCATCCGCAGACCTCTGCACGATTCCCTTCTTCAGTCCCTTGCTGCGTTTTGTCAGAGTTTACCAAACCGCTGAAGTTTTTAAAGTGAGCGTGGTTTCTCACCCAGGGTTCGTGGATCTCGTCGCTTCCAGGCACGTCCAAGAACAGAAGTGTCAGGAGGACCGACATGGCGCTGCTGGCCCGTGCGAGGTGAGAGCTCCGAGGAGAATCCCCCAAACCCGCAGCCAGCCCCTCTCCATCCCCCCGAGCCCCTCTCGCCGCTCCGGCTTTTCCCCGCAATTCCCGAATCCCCGGCAATTCGCCCCCCTCCTCCCCTCCTTCCATCCTTGGCACGAGACTCAGGGGGCTCAGCCTGGGGGTGGCCTCGTGCTTTCTTCTCCCAGGGACCCTTCCATGAGCCCCCCATGAGCCTTCAAACACCCCCAGCCCGGGTGGGCTTCAGTGTCCGGGTTCAGCAACTTCATCCCACCCTGATCCACCCTGATCCCACCCTGATCCCACCTGCATCCCGCCTTGGTCCCATCTTAATTCCCCAGCCCATCTTCAGCCTGCCTTCCATCTCTGCATCCCATGGTTATCCCAGCTCCATCCCACCTCCATCCCTCCATCTCCCCTCCATCCCACCTCCATCCCTCCATCTCCCTCCATCCCACCTCCATCCCTCCATCTCCCCTCCATCCCACCTCCATCCCTCCATCTCCCCTCCATCCCACCTCCATCTCCCCTCCATCCCACCTCCATCCCTCCATCTCCCCTCCATCCCACCTCCATCCCAGCCCCATCTCATGCTCCCTCCGCTCTTTCTCTCCCCTGCCAGTGACACCACGGAGGTGATCCAGCTTCTGGGCGGGTCCGTGACCCTCCGCAGCCTCAACGCAGACGGAAACACAGATGGAAATGCAATAGTCTGGTTTTTTGGGAATGAACCCATAGTGACTGTGGAACTTAAGGATCCTTTTCAACCTGTGTTTCATAAAGAAGAATTCCAAGGACATTTTGCTGTTTCTGAGGGAGGCCGCGCGCTCAGCATCTCCCAGCTGAGGATGGAGGATGCCGGAATCTACTCTGTAAAAATCGGGGATGAAACATCCACCTTCACCCTCCAGGTGTTCGGTAGGTGCCTTTAGTGCTGTTTTGGGGGGTTTTTTACCCTAAAAGAGAGGTTTGTGACACCCCTGTGCCCCCAGGGGAGCTGGCAGAGCCCACGGTGACGTGCGAGGCCCAGAACTGCTCGGACGGGAGCTGCAGCTTCTCCCTGCGCTGCTCCGTGCCCGGCGCCGGCCTCGGGAACGTCTCCTACAGCTGGAGGGTGCGGGATCGGCCGCAGGACGGGGGCTCCGTGGTGCTGTGGGTGAACGAATCATCCCGGGAGGAGCCGGAGCCGCTGACGTGCACGGCACGGAACCCCGTCAGCAGCAGGAATGTCACTGTCACCACCCCTGGGGTGCTCTGCTCTGGTGAGAGCTGGGGACAGGTGGGGAAAGGTGGGATGGGCTGGTCCTGATCCCCTGGGAAACACGGGAATGTTGGGGTTGGGATGGGCTGATCCTGATTCCCTGAGAAACACGGGAAGGTTGATGTTGGGATGGGCTGATCCTGATTCCCTGAGAAACATGGGAATGTTGGGGTTGGGAAGGGCTGATCCCGATTCCCTGGGAGCCGTGGGAACATTGGGATTATGGGATGGGATGGGATGGGATGGGATGGGATGCAATGGGATGGGATGCAATGGGCTGGTCCTGTTTCCCTGAGAAACACGGGAATGTTGGGGTTGGGATGGGCTGGGACAGGATGGGAAGGGAATGAATGTTGAGGTTAGGATGGGCTGATCCCTATTCCTGTGAGAGCCATGGAAAGGTGGGATGGGCTGATCCCAGTCCCCTGAGAAACTCAGGAAGGTTGGGGTTGGGCTGGGCTGATCCCACATTCCGGGGCTTTTCCTGGAGCAGTAGCTCAGATGCAGAGGGAAGCTCTGACCCCTGTCCCTGTTCTCTCCCCTCGCCAGCAAACACCACGCACCCTCCCAGCCCAGGTAAGCTGCCACCCCATCCATGTCCAGCCACACTCCTGAATGAGTGTTCCCAAGTGTCCCCAAATGTCCCCAAGTGTCCCCGAATGCCCAGGACAGCTTTTCCATGCCCAGCCAGGAAGGGCAACTGGGGAGCTTGAGCTCAGCATCCTCCAGCTCCTCCCAAAATCCCTTTCCTGGGAATGTCCAGGCTCTTCCCAGAGGTGCCAGGGACAGGACAAGGAGTGGTGGCCACAAACCCAACCCCGAGAAGCTCCACCTCCGTGTGAGAACCTCTTCCCATGTAGTGTCCCCCTCTGGAACCACCCCAAACCCATCTGGCCTTGTCCCCGTGTGCCCTGCTCTGGTGACCCCATCCTGGCAGCACTGGGAGATCTCCAGAGTTCCTTTCTGACCCAGTAACTGGGGAATTTGGGAATTCTGGGATCCTTGTCCTTGTCCAGTGCTTGTCCAGCCTCTGTGCTGGCTTGGAGTGAGATCTCCTGGAATTAGGGATCAGGGCGGGATTTGAGGCCAAATTCCCTCTGCCCCAATACCAGGAACAGCCAGGTTTATTTTGGGATGCTGCCTCTGGATCTTCTTTCTTTTCCAGGTGCCCACTCCGGCAGTTGGATCAGGATCGGCGTCATAGCCGGGGTTGAAGTTGCATCACTTTTGTCGATTTTCCTCGTGTTCTACTGCAAATCCAAAGGTGAGCGTGGAAAACCATCCCTGGAGCCCAGGAAAACCATCCCAGGAGGTGGGACCTGGGAGGGGGGACAGCGCCAGAATGGGGCTGATTTGGGGTGGATTTGGGGCAGATTCAGGGTGGATCCAGGGTGGATTTGGGGTGGATTTGGGGTTCTCCTGATTCTGTCTCATCTCCCCTCGTGGTTTAACCAACTGTTGGGTTTTTAACTGGGGGAGAGCCCCGGGACTGCAGGGTTGGTTCCCTGTGGGGCGGGACCAATCCGCTGGCGAGCTCTGAGGAGCCAATCATCTGGCTCAGTTTGCAGATTGACAGCCGGTTAAACCACCAAAAGGAGCTGAACACGCCTCTGTGGAAAAGCAGATTTAAAAACAAACAAAGCCCAAAAAAAGCTCTTTTTCTTCTGCCCTGGGAACAGGTCACTGACCGGCCCCACGCGGCCAGGCTGGGCTGAGATTCCTGCCACAGCCGGGCCGTGCCACCAGGACTGTCCCCAACACCCCGAGCAGCCACGCGGCCACGACCAGCGCCAGGAGCGGCCTCGTGGCCAGCACTGGAGGTGGCCCCAAAATCCAGAGCGGCCACGAGGCCGAGATTGTCCGGCCAAAATCCTCATGGCCGGGGCAGCGCCGCGCAGCTGGACTTTGTTTGCTTCACGGAAATTAAAATTAAAAGCCAGGAAAGAGCTGCTTCTTGTGGAGAAGTCTCCATGGCGTGGCAAGAGACACTCCTCAAGAGAGCTGAAGAAAGGCTGTTTTGAGTTGGTAAACGGACTGAAAGTCCCAGGTTTTGTCTCTTTACGTTGTCAGTGGGAAAGAAAAGAGGGTGGGGGATAAGCATTCCAAAGGTTTATTCTGATTTTATTTTTATTTTTATTTTAACTCAGTCAATAAAGATTTTTTTATACCTTTTAAAGTTCTGAGGCTGTTTTGCCCTCTTCCTCCCAATCTGTATCTCACAGCAGGAAATGAGCAAACAACTCAAGTTAGCGCTGGGGTTTGGCCAGCACTAAACCCACCCCAAAATTGGTGCCTTGGCCGGAAACTCAGACTGGCAAACCAAAACCTATTCACACTCTTCACCAAGAAAAAAGGAAAAAAAAAGGATTCCCAAATTTTCCAAACCCTAAAAACACCACAAAATTCCCACCCCCGTCCATCCCGCCTGCCCAATCCCAAATCCATCCCTTCCAGAGTTTTCCATCCCCAAATCTTCACTCCAAGGCACAGCTGGGCATTGAATCTTGGGGGGAAAACCCCGAATTTCTGGATATTTCTGTTCCATTGATCCCAGTGTCCACTGGAGTTTCCGTGAGAATTCCACAGGGACAGGAATTCCGGGGTTTTAGGGGCTCTGGTGGTCGGCAGGATTTGGGAAGCCCAAGCGCCTGTAACCCCCGTTATCCTGCAAGGAAACGGGTGGGATTTGGGGCATTTGGGGGATTTTTTGATCCCAAAGTGTGGATTCTCCATTACCTCCAAGTAGGCAGTGGCGACCAAAGCTCGGTCCAGCCTCTTCCTCTTGATGGAAGAAGGCTGTGGGGAAAAAAGGGGAAAATTCCCATTGGGAAAAGCGGAATGATGATCCCAAAACCTCGGGGGACACGGATTTGGTGTCCCCAAGGCTTGGGGACACTCCAGGACAGCCTCACCCTGCGGCCGAACTGGACCGTGGAGTAAACGGTGAAATTCTCGGGTTCCTCCCGGTGCCTGGGGTGCTCCTGCCAGGGAAAAAGGGTGGGGATGCACCAAAAATGGGAAATTTTGGGATAAAAACTGGATTAAAAACGGATCCAGCCTGGGAATCATCTGGGATCCCACGGGAATGACCCTACCAGTGTCCTGGGAGTGACCACAGCATAGATGGTGGCTCCTTCCTGGGTGGCCTCGCCACTCCCAGCCTGGGGACACAAAAAAAGCTGGGAATGGTTAAAAGGATCAACTCAGGGTTCCTGAAATTCCCACACGGAGGGGATTTCCCATGGAAGTGTGGTCAGGCCTGGGAACTGCCCGAGGTTTGGGTTCCCAGTCCTGGAAGTGTCCGAGGGATGACTGAACGCTGAGTGACCAGGCTGGGGTCAGCCCCAGGGTGGACCCCATGACCCTGGAGGGTTTTTCCAACCCCAAAATTCCCGGATTTTGGGTGGGAAGGGACATTCCCGGCACTCACGGGGTCCTGGCGGGGTTTCTTCTCTCCCACCTCAGCGTAGACGGTCAGCTCTGAGGGTCCTGCGGGGAGTCCGGGGGTCTCTGTGGGGTCAGAATTCCCAAATTAGGGTTCCAAGGGTCAGTTTGGGGTCAGAATTCCCAAACTGGCGTTCCAAGAGTCAGTTTGGGATCAGAACTTCCAGATTTTGGGGTTCCAAGAGTCAGTTTGGGGTCAAACCCCCAAAATTTGGGATCCTGCCCCGACATTCCGGACAAACCTTCCCGGGAATTCTTCCTCCTCTTCCTCCACCAGCAGCAGCTGCCCACGAGGAGCAGGGGCAGCCCCACGCCCACGGCCACGCCCACGGCCAGCAGTGTCCAGTGGCTGAAATTCTCTGGAATTTCTGGAAAAGAATCCCAGAATCCTGGAATTGAGCTGGGATTTAAGGTCCCCTTCCCACCCAAAACATTCCAGGATTCCTTGAATCTCTAAAATTATATTTTTGCCTATATCAAATAAAAAATGTATAAATAATACTGGATTAAAAATATATAAATAAGTTTATGTTTTATATAAGCTTATATAAATGGGTATATATATTATATATATTATGTATTATATATTATACTCTATGTGCATAAATTAATTTAAATATGTAAATAACTATGCATTTAAGAAATAGTAATAAGTAAATAAGTATAAATAATATATAATAGTAAGTAAATTTTATATGGAAATAAATACATGCTTAAAAGGTTTTAGCACTGGAAACGTTTTTTTTCCCACTTATAAACTCTAAAACTTTAAATCCCGGACCCCACCCCGGTGGGTCCCTCCCAGCCCCCGGAAATCCCGGGATCCACGGGAAGATCACCTGGGCAGGTGAGCCGGGCGCGGGCCGCGCTCCACCCCGCGGGGTTGCTGACGTTGCAGAGGCAGATTTGGGGTTCAGCGCCCTCGGGGAGCCTCCAGATCAGCCGCGAGGGGATCCCCGGGATCTGCTCTGGGATCTCCCCTGGGATCTGCTCCAGGATCTGCTCTGGGATCTGCTCAGGGATCTCCTCAGGGATCTCCCCCGGGATCTCCCCTGGGGGACCCCCGGGACAGGCCCAGCTGTAGGAGACGTTCCCGGGGCTGGAGCAGAGCAGGGCCAGGACGCACCAGCCCCGATCCCGCTGCAGGATTTGGGATTTCAGCTCCGGCGGCGGGATGGGGTCTGCGGGGACAGCGAGGGTGAGAGGGGACAGAGGACAGGGGGCAGGGACACACGGACACAGCCACTCACCCCACACGGACACTTGGAAGCACCGAGAGGAAATTTTTGCCACATTCTCGAACTCGGCACTATAGACCCCGCTGTCGGCTCTGTGAACCGGGGAGATGCACAGGGAGAGGTTTCCCGGTTGGAATTTCGCTCTCCCCTGAAAAGAACCTTTGGGATAGGAGACAGTTCCAGCCCTGGGGGCCGTCAGGATCTTCTGCCACATTCCTGAATCAATTTTCACTTTCCAGCGGATCTCTGTCCACTCCCGCGGGGGTTCCTGCGGCGCCAGGCACAGCGATCCTCCCGCGGACACGGCGAGGGACACAGCTCGGTTTTGGCATTCCGGGGATCCTAAACCAGAGCCAGGGTGAGGCTGTGACCCCGCGAGAGGCTCCGTGGCTCCGGAGAGGACATGGTCACTGCTGGGGCCACCCCTGGGCTGCACCTGCAGCGTCCACCAAGGCCACTCCTGGCCCCAGGGCCCATTCCCCATCCTCATCCCAAAAATTCCATTCTTTCCATGCCATCCCAAGCTGGTTCTGTGTCTGTTCCCCATCCCAAATTTCCCCTCTCTCCCCATTATCCCAAACTGGTTCTGTATCTATTCCCCATCTCATTCCCAAATTTCCCCTCCCTCCCTCCCCATTATCCCAGACTGGTCAAGGTGCATTCCCCATCCCAAATTTCCCCTCTCTCCCCATTATCCCAGACTGGTTCTGTGTCCATTCCCCATTCCAGGGATTCCATTCTCTCCTCACCATCCTGGGCTGGTTCCCAATCCCCATCCCAAAATTTCTACTGTCTCCCCATTATCCCAGGCTGATAGAGTGTCCATTCCCCATCTCAAAAGTTCAGTTTTCTGCACATTATCCCAGACTGGTTCTGTGTCCATTCCCCATCCCAAATTCCCCCTCTCCTCGTTATCCCAGACTGGTTCTGTGTCCATTCCCCATCCCAAATATCCCCTCTCTCCCCATTATCCCAAACTGGTTCTGTGTCCATTCCCCCTTCCAGGGGTTCCTCTCTCTCGTTATCCCAGATTGGTTCTGTGTCCATTCCCCGATCCCAAATTTCCCCCTTTCCCTTCCCCCTCTCCTCGTTATCCCAGACTGGTTCTGTGTCCATTCCCCATCCCAAATTCCCCCTCTCCTCATTATCCCAGACTGGTTCTGTGTCCATTCCCCATTCCAGGGATTCCATTCTCTCCTCACCATCCTGGGCTGGTTCCCAATCCCCATCCCAAAATTTCTACTGTCTCCCCATTATCCCAGGCTGATAGAGTGTCCATTCCCCATCTCAAAAGTTCAGTTTTCTGCACATTATCCCAGACTGGTTCTGTGTCCATTCCCCATCCCAAATTCCCCCTCTCCTCGTTATCCCAGACTGGTTCTGTGTCCATTCCCCATCCCAAATTCCCCCTCTCCTCATTATCCCAGACTGGTTCTGTGTCCATTCCCCATTCCAGGGATTCCATTCTCTCCTCACCATCCTGGGCTGGTTCCCAATCCCCATCCCAAAATTTCTACTGTCTCCCCATTATCCCAGGCTGATAGAGTGTCCATTCCCCATCTCAAAAGTTCAGTTTTCTGCACATTATCCCAGACTGGTTCTGTGTCCATTCCCCATCCCAAATTTCTCCTTTCCCCGTTATCCCAGACTGGTTCTGTGTCCATTCCCCGATCCCAAATTTCCCCCTTTCCCCGTTATCCCAGACTGGTTCTGTGTCCATTCCCCATCCCAAATTTTCCCCCTCTCCCCTTTATCCCAGACTGGTTCTGTGTCCATTCCCCCTTCCAGGGGTTCCTCTCTCTCCACACCTCCCCTCCCCATCCCAGGGAATTTCACCCCCTGCCCCTTTCCTCTCAACTTTCTGGGTTTCTCTTCCCCAGAGCAGCCCCGGATGTCGAAGGCCCCCAAAATAAAACCCGCAAGTGTGGCTGGTTTGACAGTGCCAAGTGCCTCCTGCAAACTGACATCAGGAACCTGGCCTGGTGAGTTTTGTTTCCCAGGGAAAAGGGCCGGCGTGCGTGTGCAGGGCCCGCCGGCCCGGAATGCCGGCGGCTCTCTCTCCTTGATCGCCCTGTCTGTCACCTCTCCCCTCCCTGTTACCCATAGCAACCATTGTATCCATTCCCTCAGTCCCTCCCTGGTTCCCTGTCTGTCACTCGGTGCCCCAGCCCTTCTGTCTAGAATCTTCCATCCTGGGCATCGAGTGATTGGCTCAGGGGCCAGGACTCCACCCCTGCTCTACCCTCATTGGTTTTTCCTGTGTGCCTGTTATCCTACCACCACACCCATCTTTTTTCTGATTTGCTGGAGACCACCTTTCCTCTATGTATCCGCCCTACTTTAAAAACCCAGGTCGGAGCCCAGTTGGTTTTGTCTCCAGCTGG